GCTTGCAGTAGTGTGCTGGCGTTGGCCAGAGAGCCGGATGTCCTGCAGACCAGCAGCGCCATGTTCAGAAATGCCTGTTCTGAGCAGCTCTTGTTGCATGGCTGGCGGGATGCTAAGTGTTTGTAAGGAAGTGGCAGGCAGGATAAGCAGAAAACTACAAATAGGTCGATAAAATCGTGGATGTCTGAGATTGTATCCTGCTTTTGGTCACTGTTAAAAAAATTCTATGGCTTGTCTAAACTTATCTGATTTGAAGATCATGTTTATCTGTGCATGTATGTGTTTGTATCTGTGGTTTTTCTGATTTTTTCTGTTTGTTGGGCAGTGGCTCAGGTAGGCAAGTGTAAACAGACTTTTCTTAATATACTGAGTTTTACCCCCAATAATCCACCCTTACTTCTCAGGTAGAAATTATTTTTAAATGTGTGCTCACGGGTAATTTGCACAGCTTTGTTTAGAATAGGACCTCACAGTCTAGTGTGAACAGAACCTACACGTGACCATTGTGGTGAAGCAAGTTGCAGCAAGGCTGCCCAGGGCCATGCTCACAGTGAGACTGTCAGAGCTCCCCCACCCCTACCCCAGGCCAGTCTGGCCCTTTCTCCCTGGGCTTGTAATCTTTCCCCACATTCCCATCTACTTACATGGATCACACAGAACCATCTGGCTCAGTCACACTGATGGAGGGTCTGAGTTTACCGCCAGTCTCTCCTGATAGTGGACCATTTAAACCAGACACAGGGGTCATGTTGGGATCCCGATGCTGGTCACGTGGCTGCTAAGGCTGGCCTATAGAATGGGTTGGGCCTGCAGCCCATTCAGGCTTCTTACCCAGTCCCCCGAGTCCAGCCCTGGGGATCTTGCTGGTGGAGTCAGTCTGCAGAAGAGCTCTTGATTTATTTGTCTGCCCGTCCTGGGCCCCCGGGGCCAGAGCCCACCTCCTTTGGCCCACCACTTAGAGAAACTGGACCTGCAGGCAGGTCCCAGAGTGAGAACCAGGATGGGCTAGGCTGTGCACGCCCAGCGCCTTCACCAGGCTCACCTGTGAGAGAGCAAGAAAGGGCAAGGAAGAAGATCAGGTGGCTTTTTGCCGGTGCTTCCAATGCCAGAAATTGCTGTTTAATGAGGCAAGGTAGGAATGCTTGGAGGAGGAAAACATGTTTGCATCTGTATCATCTAGCATAAGATACCAGTCTTCCCTGTTGCCACTCTTTCCAAATCCGGGGATAATTCCTTGCCATCGCCTGCCCATACACTGTTTTTGTAATGAAGCTTCATGTAGCACCCACATGATATTCCAGGGAGTAGGCGATGTGTTTTGATCTTAGCAAAGCACTAGAGCCTCTCGAGATACCCTCGTGGTGGTTCTAGCAAAATGGGCAGTGGATTTACAACTCTGTGTGCCACTCATCTCAGTAGGTCATTGTTAGCTTGAGAGGGCGCTGGGGCCGGAGTGGGCGCACACAACAGAGGCTCTGCCTGGTTAACCGTGTGATTACGGCACTGGATGAAAGCGTGAAAGGAAGGCATCGCCAAGCAAAGTTCTCTCACCGTACATACAGTTTATTGGAACCTAAAAGCAGGTTTTGCAGAGTGGAGCAATATTGGCATGAGAGGATGGGACCTGCCAGTTTTCCCTGGTTACAGTTCATCTTCCTGGTTTGGGTTCATTCTTCTCTGAGAGGATCATTCCAACTTTCATTTGATCGTCTATTGAATTAAGTATCCCTCCTAACAATAATGCCACTCTCTAACAGCTGTTGAGTGCTTGCTCTGTGCCAGGTCGAAGAAAAACATCTTGGGGTCCTGGTGACCCCAAGGTCAGGTTTAGCCATCCTTGCACACAGGAGCAGAACAGAGGGTAAGGAGTGGAGTCAGGTGGGCGCTGGCTCCAGTCCCAGAGTCTTGTGGAGTTAACCACAGCAAGTGATTTAACCCTTCTAAGCCCGGGTTCCTCATCATCTGTAAAGTGACCATTGTAATAATACCTGTGTCATACTGTTTTTTTGACAACTGAAAGACACACGCACACACACACACATACAAATCTGTGTATACATACACTCAGCACAGTTTTGGAGTATGTTCATGGAGATCTGAGCTCCAGCCCACTGGGGGAGGGATCCAGGACTGACTCTGCCTGTCAGAACACGTAAGGACGGTATATTGACTCGTAAAGGCGCTAATGAGTTACCTCTCAAGCTGAGGCTCTCAGGAGCTCAGAGATGTGCCTCGGGGTCACCGTGGGCATTAGGATTCTGCCCCTCCAACCAGAGCAGCTCTGTTTTTGTTGTTTATACTGATAGAATATATACGTTGATTCACGTGTGTATTTACATCTCATCTCAGTGGTTCTCAGCTGGAACTGGACATTTGTCACTGTCTGGAAGTATTTTTGGTTGTCACAGCCAGGGAGTTGCTACTGGCATCTAGTGAGTAGAGACCAGGAAAAAAAAAAAACCAACCAAACCCATTGCCATCTGGTTGATTCCGACTCATAATGATCCTATAGGATGGAGTAGAACTGCCCCATAGGATTTCCAAGACTGTAATAATCTTTACAGAAGCAGACTGCCACATCTTTCTCCCGCAGAGCGGGTTGTGGGTTTAAACAGCCAACCTTTCTGTTAGTAGCTGAGTGCTTAACCACTTTGCCACCAGGACTCCTTATAGAGGCCAGGGATGCTGCCAAACATCCCACAATGCACAGGGCAGCTACCACAACAAAGAATGATCTGATCCAAAATGTCAATCGTGCTGGGCTTGAGAAGGTACAGATGCCTATGTGTGGAGCAGGTAGGAGGATTCTGTGTAAGATTTTTTCCCCCAGTTAAATTTATTTTTAATTTAATATGGTAAAATATATATATATAACAAAAGTTGGCCATTTAACCATTTTTAAGTGTACCATTCAGTGGCCTTAATTATATTCACCATATTGTGCAACCATCACCACTATCCATTTCCAAAAGTTTTTCATCACCCCACACAGAAACTCAGTGCCCCTACAGCTATAACTCTCTCTTTCCCCTTCCCCGTAAATCTGTCTAAGATTTTTATTTGGAGAAAGTCTAGGAAAGAAATGAGGAAACCAGGGTTCTGTAGTACATCTGGGAAGAACCACCTGGTTGCTGAGAGATTACATCCCTTAGGAATGTGGAAGAACCCCATTGTGGAGCCTGAGGCAGATAGGCTAGATGAGAGGGAGGCTAGAAGCTGCCTGCTGAGAGTCAGTTATGTGTGGTTCTGGGCCAGCCTGGCCAGTATGAAGAGGAGCTTTCTGGGGTTAGAGTTGTCCAGTTGGGAAGCAGACTGCTGTGGGAGAGACAGTATGATCTGGACTGATTCTGCATAAATCACATGGTTGACACTGAAACTATTGAATTTTAAAAGTTCAAATTACGTTGAAGACGGATCATTGGGTAGAGTGATCACTTTTCCCCACCGGCTTTGTGGCCCTAATCCTTGCCTTGACTGACCGACCGTCATCTGGTGAGAAGGTGGTCCCCTGGGCACCAGGAACCAGACTCTTGGTGTGAGATCATCATTGGAAAACTGGCCTGTGTCTTATGCAATCAGCATAGCATTATTGTCTTGCTCGAGGTCAAGTTTAATATTGATCTGATCATGTTTTTTCTTTACCACCAGGATCACATTAGGTAAGTATTTAAGCTTATGATAAGAAATAGGCCTTAAATATTAGGTTGAACTATATGAATTGCCATTGTTTAGTGTTGTTTTTATAGGTCAAAAACAGTCAGATATTAGCAATTTCATACAGTTTAACCTGCTAGAGGATTGTGTCAAAGAAAAATTGCAACGGACAACGTTAAAACAGGCAAGAATGACTTTATTCAAAAAGGATTACTGCAAGAAGGGGGAGGGAGGACTATTGGAAGGAGGCAAAGGAACACTCGAATCTGAGTTCAACTCCACTGAAACAAAAAACTGCGAGCTTTTAAAAATCTGCTGCTGGTTAGCGGAAGAGCACTGAAGAGAGTACGGGGGTTGATCCCTGGGATAGGTGAGTGATTTACTGAGCTTGCAGTTAGGGCCATTTGGCTCAGAATGCTGCCTTTTCTTGTGATAAGGTTGCCTGGGTCCTGGGAGACCGCGGGGGAGGGAGTAGGAGGGTAGCGGACTCCTCCCTGGTTAGGTGCCTGGAAATTGTAAAGACTGAGGGAGAGGAGGTCAGGGTGATATTAAAACAGGAGGTCATTAAGGCGGTCTGGGTCAGTTTTTTACAGTAAGTCGTTTTCCAGAGTACAAAAGGGTGGGGAGATTTCTTTAACCATTGCTATTCTCCATGATCATAGGACTCTGGTAAAATTCAACTTTGTCCATTGAAAGTGACAGTTTGTAATTTATGCTCAGGCCTGGCCAGGAGCACCTATTATAATGGACCTTCTTCCAACAGATATAAAACAAATGCCCGCATTTTGACAAAGCCATGTTTCCCTGGGTGGGAATGGGCTTGTCTTCATCTTTTTGTCTGCCCAGTAGGAGAGAGAGAGCTTCTTTTAAACCTCAAGAACGTCCAAGAAGACATCCCTTCCTCATCCCCACCTCTTGGCTGACTTTGTTCCTTCACGTTTAAAAAAGAACCAGTGATGGAAAAATTCAGGAAAGGTTAATGGTGATGGTTGAACAACGTGTCATGCTGAAGCTGGTCTAACCCTGGTATTCATCTAAAAAGAGGGGGTAGGGAAAATGCCTAGCACTCCATCCTTACATTGTCATCAAATTGAAGTGAAATTAGGACATGGCGTCACCATCTGGGCTTCTTAAAATATTCCCCTTCCACCAGGGATGTTTTATAGATCCCATATGGTCCTGTTGGGAGGGTAGTACTTCAGGGACTTTGGAATGTATGCTATGCCTTACATTCGTTCCTCTTGAAGGATAAAATTGCTCAACTTTTTGGAACCAGGCATCTGAGGAGCAGAAAGTTCTGTGGTAAGGCCGTATAATGATCTCATGGTGTGTGTTTTGTTTCACAGGTTAACTTCCAAAGCATATCCACCATCTCCAAAGAATGTGAAGCCACCATACCTAGGGTCGCCGGTGAGATACCGTCTTCCCTCTTTTTCCAACCGAGAGATTCCCAAGAAGAAGGCAGAGAAGGAGAAGACCAACAAGGAAAGGGAAAGTGCCACTGGCCAGCAGGCATTTGGTGCACATGGAGAGGACGTCCCCGAGAAGCACGTTGTGGACAAGCACACCACTGAGAAGCTTGCTGCTTCTGGAGGGAAGGCTGAGAGCGTTGAAGGTAGGCCTTCCTCATAGACGCTGCCATCTGGGGCCTTGGGTCTCCAAAGATGGTCCTCTCTCTGACCCAGTCCAAGCAAGATTCTCGCCCTCTTCCTGCTTTCCTCCCTCAGTAACCTGAGGCTCCCCTGGAGGAGGAGACTTAGGGGCCGACTCTGCTGTGGCTGTGGAAGCGCGCTCATGGGTGTGCTGAGTCAGGCAGGCTGCACCCAGCCAGCATATGCGGGCTTCCCAGCAAGAGGGGCTTACTCTAATCCTTTCAGCCTTTGTGATGCAGTGAGTTCATCCCATGGGCACAGCCAGTGGTGGTGGCGGCCTTGGAACTTGCTAGTTACTCTTTCCTGTGCACTGGTCTACTCCCCTGCACTGTGAAATGCATCCAGGGTCACAGCCGGCCCCGTTGCAGTCTGCTCGGTGGCTAATCGTGCTAGTCCTGGCAGCATTACCCCTTACCCCATTGGAGTAGATTTTTCCTTTCCAAGTGGCAGCTACTGCATGAGTAGAATCGTTGTTTTCATTCACCTTAGTCTTTTCTTTTTGATGCCTCTCCCCAAATGCAAACTCAGGGAAGCCCACAGCAGGCACCACTGACGCTGGAGAGGCCTCAAAGATCTTGGCTGAGAAGAGACGACAGGCCCGGCTGCAGAAGGAGCAGGAAGAGCAAGAACGACTGGAGAAGGAAGAACAAAACAGGTTATTGGCTCAGATTTTGGGGGTGATCTCATGGGGAAGACTGCGGTGGAAAGACCAACTTGCTTTCTTTTATGGTTTTGGTATTGATAGAAACCCAGCAGCAGTCTAGGAGCCTAGAATGCCTGGTTTGTACAGAAGGTGCTCGGGGGGCTGCAGCTACTATTAGATAGAATTTGCAGCAATGGAACTTTGCTCTCTTCAGAGGACCTGGTAACTCATCACTCCTGGATCTGAATGGTACTGGCAGCTTCACTTCCTCCTCTTGGACATTGAGGCCAGCCAGTCCTATCTATCAAGAGCTGTATCTTTGAGCTTTGTTTATAGAATGAGAGTCTATCTAAGAAGACAGAAGGTTCCAGATGTAGAGCTCTTGATTTTACTTCCCAAAGTTGTATTTTCTCACCCAAATTATCCTTACACCATAGAGACAGAAAGGAGGCTTCAGCAGAGGTCCCTAGACAGGGGCAGAAGCCCACCTCATAGTCCATGAGTAATGAGATGTGGAGAAGCCCACTCTGGAGCATAACCAGAAGACATCATTGCAGTGGCTTCCAAACCCGGGAGGGTATCAGAACCATCTGGGCATGTGGTACGAGTACACAGGCTCAGGCCCTGGCTTCCTTCAACGACCTTGGGCCTTTGTAGCTGTGTAGCTATCCAGGTCATTCTGATGTAACGCCAACATTTAAGAACCACTGCATTGATAGTACCAGGGCACTGTGTCCAAATAAAGACAGTCCTGCCTTTTCTGATCTTTATATTCAGAGAGGAATGCATGCTAAGGACAAGGTAGATTTAATCATTAAATTGATAAAGGGAGCTTTTAGAATAATCAAAGTGCAGCCCAAGCCACTTAGAGAATTAACATGACAGGAGCAAATGACGCTATAGCACTTCAAGTCTGGCACAGAATTTAGAATAAGAAACAGAATATTCTTGATCCTTATATGACCATGGCAAGTCTGTGGTCTCTGATTGCAGATTTGCTCATCTGGTTGAAAAGAGCAGGGGGTGGAGGGGAAGTAGGTCAGGCTGGTCCCTTCTTGCTTCAAATTCTGGACCTCTCTGATGATTTCCCCACCTGCAGCTTTTTGGTTAATATTGGCAGATTTATTATTAACTGGGGTGTTTGGGCTGGTTTGTGTGGGCCGTAAGATGTGTGAAGGGAGGTTGCAGGAGATGAAGATGAATCTCGGGTCCTCAAATGCCAGTCCTTGGTAATTGCAGGCCCTGGAGAGACCATGCAGGCTCTGAGCAGGTGAGTAACCTGATTGTAGCTATGTGCTTAGCAAGGTGAGGTTCTTTACCTTCCCACTGCCACCCTCTCTCTCTGTCACACACATTTCCTTCACAGCCCAGCTACTCAATGAATCGATTTGTACTCCCTGCCTTTACTTCTTCAACTCAGATTCAGTCTTCAAACTAACACTCACCCTTCCTCCTAACTGCCAGAGTCCTAGTCGATTTGTTTCTTGGCTTTGACCTTGTGGAGCTTTCTCTTGCTTCTCTGGCCTCTCTTTTTCACTCTCCTCTGTCCACTCCCCCATCGCAGCCCACAGTCCTTGGTTGATTTCTCCCTTGACCAGCATCCCTGAACAGTGTGGCTCCCTCCTACTCTGCCATTGCCTGCATCATATCACAAAGGGTTTAATGTTTGGAGCATTTGGTGTGCTAACCAACCCTGCTCTCATCTCTCTTTCTACCCTCATTTTCTCTTTGCCTCGTTTTATCATCTGTCAATTTCGTTTTACTTTGTAAACCTTAAACACTTTCTGGAACAAGGGAGGTGCTAAATACCACACGTGTTCTGATAACTCCTGACTCTGTCCGATGACCAGGTTCCTCTCTAGAGCTGCCTGTCCAGTAGGGTCGCCTCTAGCCACATGTGGCTATTGAAATTTAAACTAATTAGAATTAAGTACAATTCAATTCCTCCATCACATTAGCCACATTTCAAGTGCTCAGTGGTCACATGTGCCTAGTATCCATCATATTGGACAGCACAGAAAGTTCTATTAGACAGTGATGGTCTAAAATGTAGAGCCCATACGTCTAACTGCGTTATGTTTTCATTTGTGTGTGTCCATATGCATCTCAAATTCAGAATGTCCAAAGCAGCGCTTACTATCTTTCTCCCAGAAGTCGTCTTCTTTTTACGAGCTCTGCACCTCCATCTCCCCAGGCACCCAAGTCACAAGTCTCAGCGCCAACTCTCAACTCTTCCCTTTCCTTCCCCCTCCACACACACCTGGCAGTTGTCAAGTCCAGTCTGGGCTGCCTCATTAGCGTCTCTGTTCTTCTCCTTCCCCTCCAGCCCTCCTCTCCTGCCTGAGTTCCTGCCCCTGTTGTCTGTTACCTGGACTGTGTCTGTAGCATCCCAACTTGTCTCCCTGCTCTGGGGCTCCCAAGTTGTCCACTCTCCACACTGTGTCCCACAGTGACCTTTCTAGAATAAGTGTAATTGTCTTGCTCCCATCCTTAAAACAAGCCAGTGACTTCCCTGCCCACAGGATCCATTGAAACCCATCAACAGGCCTTCAAAGCCTGCCATGAACAGGCACTATCCGTTTCCCCCACCTCCCTTCCACCCTGGGTGCCAGGGTGCAGACCTCCCCGATATTCCCCCACCACACCACCCATACCCCCATATCTTTGCTTCTGTTGTGCCTTTACATGGACTCAACATGGCTTTGGGCAGAGGCACCTCTTCGTTTCTCAAGATTCATGTCAAACCTTGCTCCCTCCTGATGGCCTTTTCTGGCCCTGCGCCCGGGATAGAACAGACCCCTTCCCGCTCTGTACCCTTCCTGAGCCCAACTGTGCAACTGACTAGGAGCCTCATTTGTTTCCAGGTCTGTTCCCCCAAGTCACACCTAAAAAGCCTAGGATGCAATCTTGGGATCCCCAGTTCTTGGCACTCAGTGCCTGTACTAGGAAGGATGAGAAGGAGGGAGAGGCCCAACGAAGAAACGGTTGCACTAGGAGGTTAAGAGAATGCAAGGGCTGAAGTAGTAATGCTCATGTAGAACTGGGAAAACCAGGTGAATTCAGGCCGGGTTTTGCAGCTCGAGTCAACAAATTTTCACAACTCAGGAGAAGCAAGCAGATACAAAGCTGATGCTCAGGTTTGACCATAAGGACATAGGAGAACAGTACGCCCAGTAACAGGTGTAGGGAGGACAGGGGGAGTTGGTTGCAGAGGATAAAATTCATCCATCTGACTTTAGATAAACTAAACTACAAAATATCCAGGTGATCAGAAGGAAACATGGGGTTGAAGCCTGGGGCCTTGGTACAAATTAAAGCAATGTATTTGACCCAAAGTAAAAATCAGAGTGATACACTTGACCCAAAAACAGTTTTCCTCTCTCTTGCCAGAATGTGAAGCTTTGCATAGCCCCACGTGGGAGGTGAGAAAGGAAGGTACCAGACAGCCTGGGGCTGGAACACAGCGGACATCTCTTGGAATAAGATCATCCTCACGTCTGTTTTGTGCTTAGAGTCAATAGTTAAAGCCACAGAAATGTGGTTGCCAAATTAGAGAAAATAGAGAATAATAAAGCCACTTGAGCCAAACTGTGGAAAGCCCAATTATTGTTGCAAGCTGGTGAGGGAAATGCCATCCAAGTCAGGGATGGTGGGACTACCCAGAGCAGAAGGGCCGACAGGAGCCCAGACAGCCAGGCCCTAGGAAGAAAAGCAAAAGCTGGCCCAGTCCCAGCCAGCAATGACACTGGGGCTTTCTTGGAAGCATGGAGAACAGGGCATAGCTGCTGGGCCACTGAAAGGTTCCAGGTGTAAATCAGGATTCTTGAGAGTCAGGGCAAGAAATCCTAGAATCTGGGCCCACCTCTGGGGAAGGCACTGGTAGCAACTAGCAAGCAAGAGATCTTGCTGGGATGCAGAAATGGATCACATGAAACCACGTTAAGGGCTAAAATAGACACAGAGGTGCACATGGAAAGACATTCAAGTCAGGCAGCCCTCCACAAGCATTGCATGCAGCCAGGCTGAGGCTCGGTGTCCAAGCAAGAGTGAATGTGTTTGCACTAGGCCCAGAGCCACAGGAGATCTCCTCAGGCAGGGCCCCTTGGACCTGGCTGTTCACTGGCTGAGCCTCCAGGTGGCAGGTTGTTTTGTGACACCATGGCAGGCAGGGGAGAGTTCCAGAGAAAGGAGCCAGGGCAGTGCAGCTTCTCGTCAAGGTAGGGACGTTTAATGCCAAGACATGCCGAGAGCTAAGGACAGGCTATCTCAGTCTTGATGTTCAGGAGATGATCAGGGATTTTGGAGGAAGATGTTTGAGAAGAGTGGTGGAGACAGAAACCAGACTGCAGGAGGTTAGAGGGTGGAGCACGGCACATCAGCTGGACTTTAAGAGGTTCGTGGGTGAGAGGCAGGACAGAGAGGGCCTAGGAAAGTTGTTTGGGATACCTGAGCCCCGCGTATTTTTGCAGGCAACTGAGAGGGGTGTATAGAAGGGAGATGCTGACAATGGAAGGAAGACGGGATAATGGAAGGAACACGGAGCTGAGGAGGGCGTGGAGTTAATAGTACAAGTGGAGGAGTTTGCAGTCCTTTGCATCTAAGCGGTAATGCCATAGAGGAGAGAAGGCCCAGGCAGGTGGCCCAGTCTTCTCTGTAACCTGGTTGGAAAAGGATGACGAAGATTGAGAAAAGGTGGGGGGTTGAACGCCCCTCAGGGGCCCAAGGGATAAGGGTAAAAGGAGGGAGTGTGGCAGTCAAGGCTTGTGTGGGCCTCACTCTAACCACTTCTTGGCAGCCCGGAGGGGCATGAGTGGGCCTGGGAGTCACCCACACCTGGAGTTGGGAAGCAGAGTGTTCTCCATGCCATCCCAGAAACACTTGGAAGGGGACCAGAGGGCCAGGAGGCACCAAGAGAAGAGGGAAGCAGATACAAGTTGGCTGCACAGTGCTAACCAGGGCCAGGTCAGGAGACCTGGCAGCAGAAGGATGGGTTGAGATCAAATCGAAGGTGAAATTCAGAGTTTAAGATATTGAAGGCAAACTTTTGTTTCAGTGAAAACTTCTAAGCACACGAGAAGAGTACAATGAAACCCATCTACTTGTCCTCCTGCTTGCACATGGAAAGGCAGAGCGTGCAGCAGTGAAGTGGGGCAAGGTGTGAAAGGGTAGTGCCAGAGGGGTGAGGGGCTAGGGGCAGAGACGACCACCCTCCCCAGTGGCTGGGTACAGGAGCGAAATGCTGAACAATGACAGTGATGCTCAGTTTTCTGGTACTTTCCACTAAGTCGATGAGGAAGGGGAATGGGCCAGTGGTGAGGGAGGGATTGACAGAACTGCACACCGCTATGGTGAACTTTGGAGGGAAATCAGTAATGATGGCGATGGTGGTGGGGAAATGACGAAATCCATGTTCCCTCTGGTCCCTTAAGCAGGCAAAGAAAGAATCTTCATCCTTAGAGAGGATTTTGAGAGACCTGGGGTTTCACGCAGGGGAAATCAGCTTTAACCTTCTTTGGGGGAAGCAAAGCATGGTTAATGGAGGGAATTTTTGTTCACAAGAGGATGAGATTTCCATGGAGGCACCATGAAAGGGGTTAAGGGGCCTGTGGGGAAGAATTTGTGTTTCAGGTGATAATTGAGGATCATGGAGATTTGAGACCTACAAGAATATGTTACTTATATCTGTGCATCTGGGCACCTCTGAAGTCCTAATGGGACAAGCAGAAGGAAAATGCAGATAACGTGTCCTTTATAAATTAGTTTGTGCATTCATTAATACACAGTGTATCCTTTTGTATTAACTTCTCTGGGACAGTCAAAACTTGCTCCCTAAAAAGGGGGTAAGAAATGAAACAGTGCTTTGATTAACCTTTGGATAAATCTTGTTACCAACTTGTCCATTTTTTATAATCCTGCACTGGACGTACTTAGTCTTTCATGGAGGAACCTTAGAGAACTGGAGTTTCTTTCTGATCAGGGCCCACATTGCTCTTCTCCAGAGTTCTCCAGAATATTTTTTAACAGTTTCAGTTGTGCCAGCAATGCTTTTCAGCACTGCACCCTCTGCTAATGCAGAATTTGTTATCAGCATACTGTTGTACTGTCTTAGGCTAATGTTTTTTATGTATTCCTTTACCTTTTAAAATATTTCATAGGCTGTTAGCTTTCACAGTTCCTGAAGCTGACTATTAGGATGGAAGGCTCTCTTTTTAAACCTTGACCTTTTTATAACAATATTACAGCACCCCAGCAAGTCAGTGACACATGTTTCCCCAAAAAAGGTAATTTCTGAAAAACACAGGTTTCTAGATGCACTTAAAAGGACATTGGGGTTGAGGCTAGAAGTCATCTTAAATTATACAACATTTGAAGGCCTATGAGGGCCAGGCATTGGGCTAAGTACTTCCTATACATTATTTCATTTAATTCTCACAGTAATGCTGTGGAGTAGTAGTATAGCTATTCCCAATTTTTAAATGAACATCAAAATTTGAATGACTTTCCAAAGATCACACAGCAAGTGGCACAATCAGAATGCAGTCTAGGTCCTACCCATATGTCATATTGGCAGTCAGTAACACTCTTCAAGGTAAGTATGACTCTCCACATTTTTTATAGATGAGGAAAGTTACATACCTATGGGAAGGAAGAATGTTAGAAATGTAAAAAGTCCCCGGACTTTACAGCATTTCCCCCCTGCTTAGAGCTCTTTATCATGAACTATTCATCTGTGGATGAAAGATGTCTAAATGCCATTGAATTTTGATACTGCAAAGAATAAAAGCTAAAATAGATTTTTAAAGATTGGCAAAATAAATGGGAAAATGGGTGTTTTTAATTTCTATATTAAATGTCAAGTTTCTGTTGAGCGTTTTCTTCCATTTCCTGCTTCAGAAGTCACATACATACCAGTTAGAACCCAAAGTGAATTTTTTGAGCTCATAATCATCACTCTTAAATTGCAGACTGGCCCTTGAAACTCTTCCAGGTTTTTCTAGCTTAACTCGATTTTAAATATTTATTCTGCTTAGTTTTTTTAAGGATTGTCCTTAAATAAGAATGACGGGATTGCCTTCCTATCTAATAGTGATCATTTGTTGGTTGACAGGCAAACATCTGTGTCTTATAGAATTTAAAATTAACCCTGGTTAACTTTTTATTTTTTGGTAAGTACACAAACCCTAGGTTGAGTGGATTTCCAGGAAGAATAAATCGTTTTAGTTAGTGGATACTAATTCCAGTGCATGGGCTTGTTCACGTGTTGAGCATTGCTCTCTGCTGTCAGCACACAGCAGTTCTTTGGTAATTTGCCTTTTGAGCGTGTCTTATTCTAACAACAATTATGTCCTCAAAAGGCTGGAGAAAGAGGAGTTGAAAAGAAAGGCAGAGGAGGAAAGGCTTCATCTAGAAGAAGCAGCCCGTAAACGGGAAGAGGAAAGGAAACGGCAGGAAGAGGAAGATAAAAGAAAAGCACTAGAGGAGGCCAAGCGCAAGGCTGAGGAGGAGCTATTTTTGAAAGAAAAACAAGAAAAAGAACAGCAAGAAAAAGCCATGATTGAGAAGCAGGTAGGGTATGAGTCCTTAGACTTTCCTAGTGTTTTAAGGGCTTTAGTTGATATTAGGTAAAATTTGTTAAATTTGAATGACTCATTAATTGAAATTTTTAAACTGCCTGGACTGGTTAGGAAATATAAGTTACTCTGGGGAACAAAAGTGAAGTTGGTAATATTAACCGTATGTCATCTTGGGTTCCCCCAGAGACTGATTTTGGTTACAAGTAGTTTATTTGGGAGGGAATCCCAGGAAGCTGGTTGCAGAGTGAGTGGAAAGCCAATAAAGAACACATTGATGAATGGGTTACTGTGGTCCACTGGGCCCCTCTGAGAGACTGGAACGTGCCTTGTAATTGCTCCTCTGACGGATGAGGAGGCTCGGGTATTTATCCACCAACTCCTGCCCCTCATTGTTGAGGGTCACTCATGGGGGAGTTAACTTCCGAAACTTCCAGCCACATGCACATTCCATGGCCAGAGACTGCCCTCAGATACAGGAAGACCTTGGTTGCACATCAGAACTGTCTGTAGGTAATTTGCACAGTGAACCAAGAGTATATGAGTGGGGCACCAACCCTGTCTGCTGCATTGTAGAGCAGCTTGTGTAAATCTACATTGACTATGGGAACAGCACCCACTTTGGGGAAGATGATGAGCTGAAGGAACGTGCAGACCCTCGGGAAGTACTATAGTGTTTTCTGAGCTGAATAAAGCTCGTACCTTGGTTTACCTGTTTCTATTAGAAAGAAGCAGCAGAAGCAAAGGCCCAAGAAGCAGCTAAGCAGATGCGTCTAGAGAGAGAACAGATAATGCTGCAGATTGAGCAGGAGCGACTGGAGAGGAAGAAGGTAAGGGCTGAGGGATCAGGAGGACTTAGGGTGAGGCAAGAATAGGAAGTGAGTCCAGTTCTATTTTGCAGTTATTGGGTGGGGTGCTCTTATAATTATCAATTAGGTCAAGTTTATTGTTCAAATCTTGTATATCTTTACTGTTGTTTCATTTTGTTCTATTAATTACTGAGAAAGGAGTGTCAAAAGCTACATCTGTGATGATGGATTTATCTGTTTCTCCTTTTAGTTCTGTCCATTTTTGCTTTATATATTTGGAAGCCTTATTGTTAGGTGAATATATATTTCAGATTGTTCTATTTTCCTATTGGATTGACCTCTTTATCATGAAATGTCCTTCTTTATCTCTAGCAATACTTCTCGTCTTAAAGTCTCCTTTGTCAGCTTTATTATATTAGTATTTGCATGGCAAATCTTTTCCCATCCTTTTACTTTGAACCTATGTGTGTCCTTATAGATGTGTCTCTTGTAAACTGCATATGGTCAGTTTTTTTTAAATCCAGTTTGACAGTCTTTGTCTTTTAATTGGAGTGTCTACGTCCATTTATTTTTAATGTAATTATGGATAGAGTTGGATTACGGAGGCTGATTATAAAGGTCATTCTAATGTGCCCTAGGCCTAGCCTGGGCTTCATACTGCTATAGGCCTGGGAGCTGGGAAACCAATCTGTGCCCTTCCTCCTGACTTACACCTCACCCTCACTTTCTGTAAGGTGGTTCTCTTGAGTGACAGGTGGTGATTTGTTGAATTAAAGGTAACCTAAGGAGAGAGATGGGGAAAAATTGAATGTTGATAATTGTTGTTGATACATACTAGTCAACTTCTCAAGCGTTTGACCTTGTTCATAAAGCAAAACCAATCTATACTCGTGAGCCTCTGCTAACATTTTTCTTTTGTTAGTTTTCTGAAAAAACGTGAAACTGCATGTAGACCCAACTATTTTTATATGTTTTGGGTCTTGCTGATTCCTGCTTGATTCTTTTTGGTTTTCAGAGAATAGATGAAATCATGAAGAGAACAAGGAAGAGTGACGTGTCTCCAGAAGTGAAGGTAGGAAATTCAGGGTACCTTTTAATAGGTCATGTGCTAAGTAGAAAAGAATGGCGGAATACATTCTAGGAAATTGTAGGTCTTGGAGAGGATCAGCCAGCAAAAATGGATTCTCCCCGCTCTGTTCCTGGCTAGATTAAGAAGGGTACAGGTGCCTCAAGGAGTCCGTGGGTGTTGCTAAGGGTTAACACATTCAGCTGCTAACCAAAAATTTGGATGTTCAAGTCCACCCGGATGAGCCTCAGAAGAAAGGCCTGGCACTCTACTTCTCAGAAAACCAGCCATTGAAAACAGTATGGAGCACCGCTCTACTCTGACACACATGGGGCTGCTGTGAGTCAGAGTTGACTAAATGGAAACTGGTTTTTTTTAGGTGCCTAAAAGGAAATAGGAGTCTAACAGAGATGTTTCAGAGACGGGGTGGTGGTGACTTTTTACGGATAAAAGATTTTCTCAGAGAAATGGGGGTGAGGGATGTGCGGGAAAAGGCACAATGTTGTTGTTGTTATTGTTAGGTTCCATTGAGTCAATTTCGACTCATAGCGACCCCATGTGACAGAGTAGAACTGCCCCATAGGGTTTTCTAGGCTGTCATCTTTACAGGAGCAGATCACCAGGTCTTTCTTCCATGGAGCCACTTGGTGGGTTTGAACCACTAACCTTTCGGTTAGTAACCAAGTGCTTAACCATTGCACCATCAGCACTCCTTAAAGGCACAATAGTCCATGAATAAAAAAGAATAATGATAATAAGAGAAGCATAGCTGATTTGCAATGAACTTAGAAGATTCACGGAATGAACATGGAACAGGCAAATGACCCGGCAAGATTCTAAATATCTTCTGTGCTTTTAAACCTCTCTTATCTTTCTATGTAAAGTCAACCTTCTCTCTTTTCATCCACCCTGTATTTATTTTCAGAAAGAAGACCCTAAAGTGAGGATTCCGCCTGTTGTGTGTGTGGAAAATAAGACAAAACCAGTTGTACCCAACAAAATTGGTGAGTGTGAGGTCTGGTTCTTGGGTGCTCCCTTTTAGCAAGGGAGGGCTCATTTAAAGCTTCCTGCAGGGGGAACCACCTAAGGGTTTTAAGAGTGCCGTTGCTGGAAGGGGCATGGGCAGTCTCCTTCCCCTAGAGAAGTATCAGCAACACAGAGTCTGTCTGATTCTACTTTGAAAAACACTGGGTTTGAGCACGTCCCAGGAAGCCCAGCCACAGGATACATGATGCTTTCCAGGAAGCTTACCTGCAGGGCAGGTTTTATGAAGACCTGACTCACTTTTCTATGGAGGTTTCTCCTGCTTTCCAGACTTCTGGGTTCTGGAATATTCTAGCGCATCTCTTTTAAACTCCTTACGTTTGAATATTTCATAGCAGCCAAAGTCAAGAGAAGTGTCTCCAGCTCAGAGTCACTCTTCACGTTTCTCCTTTGCTTTGTGGCTCAAGAAAATGCCATCCAAAGCCTAGGGGAAGCTGTGCAGTGTATGACATGAAGCTTCCTGGGTGTGTCATGAGCCCTGCACAGACTGATAATGTAATCTGTCTTCTCTCCTTTGTGTGTAGGGGATTACATGGGATTATTTGTGGGCTTTTTGGTAAAAGATGTAAAGCAAAGGATTAAATTAATTGCCTCTCTCTCTCTCTCTCTGTATGTATATATATATATATATTTCCCCTGTTATTTCTTTGTTTGGGACATTTTATATTTAACATAATGTTATATTCTCAATTAGAAATCAACGGATTGAACACCTGCCAGGAAGTGAATGGTGTAGGGCGCACTGCCCCAGAAACTTTTCCCCGAGACATTTTCGCTAATGGGCTTAAGCCAGTTGCAGGACTTATTCATCTGGACGCCCTTGATGGGAAATCAAATAGTCTGGATGATTCCACTGAAGAAGTTCAGTCTATGGATGTGAGGTATGTCCATTTCTTTTGCATTTAACCCTCATCTCTTCCTCTAACACCTCCACCATCTTAGTTGATTTCTTCATCTTTTACACAATCAAATCATATAGTGTAGGTTTAGTTGATGTTACAGAAAAACTGTTGGTGGTACAATACTAGTGTGTCAGGTCAAGTTCCCTAGAAGCAGAGCCTGGGACAGGGATTCTACTGGGGGAGAGCTCTCAGGAGAAACGTGGGGAGGGAAGCAAGATGAGGCATGGGGAGGTGCTAAGCAAGGATGAGGCCTCAGCTGCTCCTGCAGGTTCTGGAGGATGAGTTTCTACCAGAGAGTTGGCCCCTGGAGATAAGGGGGTGGCCTTCATACCAGTGTCTCTGTGAGTCGTTGACTGTGGCCTACCCAGGATGGGCTGCAGGTATCACTTCCTGGGCATGGAGGCTCCTGACCACCAAAGGGAGTTCTCCAGAGAACTGGTAGCAGCTGTGAGCCCTTAGCAGCTACCTCTCTCAGCAGCTGCAGGATAGTGCACCCCTGGGTAAAGAGGATCTCAGCGAGCCCCCATGGGCTTCACTCTGTCCAGGGTCTCATAATTAAGTAAACTTGTAATTGGAGACTTGAGAGAGGAACTAACTCACTTTCAGATTCTAAAAACTTAAGGAATTCTTAAACTGGTACCATGTTTGTGTTTGATATCAACTGGCAGATTAATGCTAGACAAAAGGGGAACTCAGCATGTGATTGGGTCAGAGGCCTGGACATCGACCACCCGGGGCAGGGCCATGGAGTGGGGGTGGGTCTGGGAGTCAGGAGGGAATTGCCATATTCTGTACACAATCAGCCAGTGGTCCAGCCTGCCAAAGCTTCCCCTTCCCTCCTTGGTGGGAGTTCTCAGCTTGGTCTGGGGACGCTGTCCTGTGGGACAATGTAGATATCCCGCCTCGTCCTGCCCTGGGCTTGAGCCAGATATGTGAAGACCCAGCATCCAATGGGCTCCTCAGACCAGCAGAGCAAGTTCTGTGTAGATTGATAGCAGCACCTTCAGCCCTTGCCTCCCCACACCACCCATCATGACAGGCTTCCTCCAACTGGTGCCACTCTCCCCACAGAGAAGACAACTGAGGCATCTGAAGGGTTAACATAACATACCCTCCGCCCCATGCTGAGCCCACTGTGCTTGTTCTTTTATGTCTTTGGGGTTGGGGCACAAGACCTGGCACTGGCCAGGATTCAGTAAAGTGAAGGCTTTGCGTGTGCCCTGAGTTCTCCCTATCGCCACCTCTGCAGTTAGAGAAATGACTCTGGGGGCCAGCAGCCAACCTTGCGGTGGCCTCTCTTTCCCACATTCTGACCAGTTGCTGAACCCTGGGGAATGGAGTTGGGGAAAGGTAGAAATGGGTGGGGGTGTTTCTGCTCATGAGGCAGTGTACCCAAGCTCCAGACATGGTAAGTGCTGTTAGGTCACAACCGTTGCCCCTTAACTGGATTAAGGTGCATGGGAGACAGAGCCTCTGATTTTCTGCAGTTCAACTGGTTTTTCTAGATTCTTCTCTAAGATATTATTCAGGAAGGAAGAGAACCAAAGAACCTGGCCATAGCCTTACTCTGGCTGTTAAGAGAGACTCCTGGTGACATGGCCTCAAGTCCCAGGCCACCACTTATCTGAGCCTGGGTTTCCTCTTGCTGGGTTGTACCCGACACAGTGATGAGACTCCTTCTTCCATCTTTAGGGAAAGGAGGGAGGAAGCCAGGCTTAGCTGGGCAGAAGCTGGATAAGTCACGGTGGGTTGGAATCCTCACTTGAGAGAGGAGGCAGTGGATAAGAGAGTGAGCATCACTTTCCAGGTGACTGGTTGGTGGAGGCTGTTGTCAGCAAGGGCTCCTAACCTGACCTGAGCACTCACTCAGTGCCACCTCCACGCAAACTCTCCCCGTCACGATCACATTCACACTCACAGGAGCTCTGTTAAGGAGAAACGATGATTCTTTCCATTTCACAGGGGAGGGGACCAAGGCCGGGGAGGAGAAGCACTTAGCCCAAGGCCACACTGCTAGGAAGGCAGCACCAGGGCGGCCTCTGGGGACGCATGCCTGGAGCCCCCGTGACCGTGTTAGCCCTTCCTCTGCTCACTTTTAGCTTTGAGCATTTACTTGCTGTGTGGTTTCCCATTTTGAAGGTTCTGGAAGTGCTTTGCTTCTCTGTAGAAGAGTGCTAGTGCCTCCGGTTTTTATTTTCTCTCTCCCTGTATATGGAAATGCAGAAGTATGGAGAGCTTTGGACAATGGAGCTTGGCCTTCACAGCCCTACTCAGTCCACTTCCCTTGTTCTCAGTCACAGGGGCCTGGGGGCCATCAGCTTCTTTGGTTTGAACCAACTTTGTATTTTTCACAATGTGTTACACATAAACTTTGACTTGAAATCCATCTTCCCCAGAAAAAAAAAGTAGTATAACAAAAAAATAACAAATAGAATTAGTATGTTGTGTGTAGTTCTTTTTTAAAAATTTTATTTTGTTGTTGAGAATATACACAGCAAAACATACACCATTCATCAGTTTCTACATGTACAATTCTGTGACATTTATTACATTCTTCAAGTTGTGCAACCATTTTCATCTTCCTTTTCTGAGTAGTTCCTCCCTCATTAACATAAACTCGTTGCGCCCTAAGGCTCCTGTCTAATTTTTTGAGTCGCTGTTGGCAATTTGACCTCATATAGATAGTTCTTAAAAGAGAACAATGCTTAAGGCAGACATTCTTTTTCTTTTTTAGAACATTTTATTGTTTTAGGTGAAAGTTTACACAGCAAATTAGTTTCCCATTCAACAGTTCATACACAAGTTGTTCTGTGATATTGGTTGCTATCCCCGCAATGTGTCAGCACTCTCCTCATTTCCACCCTGCCTTCCCCATTTCCATCCCTCCAGTTTCCCTGCCCTTTCTTGCCTTCTCATCTTTGCTTTTGGGCAAATGTTGGTTTGGTCTCGTGTAGTTGATTGTTCTAAGGAGCACATTCCTTATGGGTGTTATTGTTTATTTTATAGGCCAATCTATTATTTGGCTGAAAGGTGACCTCTGGGAGTTCCTTCTGTTCCAGGTTGAAAGGGTGCCTTCAGGTGATAGTCTCAGGGGTTCTTCCAGTCTCTATCAGTCCAGTAAATCTGGTCTTTTTTAATAAATTTGAGTTTCGTTCTACATTTTTCTCCCATTCTAACCAGGACCTTCTATTGTGTCCCTCATCATAGCAGTCGGTAGTGGTAGCCGGGCACCCTTTTGTTCTTCTTGTCTCAGGCTAGAGGAGGCTGTGGTTGGTGTGGGCCATTAGTCCTGTAGGCTAATTACTTCCTTCAGTCTTTGGTTTCCTTCACTGTCCTTTGCTCCAGACACAAAGAGACCAATAGTTGTATCTTAGATGGCTGCTCGTAAACTTTTAAGACTCCAGACACTGCTCATCAAAACTAAGATATAGAACATTATCTTTTTTTTAATTTATATTTATTTATTTATTTTTCTTGTTCTGCTTTAAGTGAAAGTTTGCAACTCAAGTTAGTCTCTTACACAAAAATCTATACGTACATTGTCATATGACCCTAGTTGCTCTCCCGATACTGTGACAACACACTCCTCCTTTCCACCTCGGATTTCCTGTGTCCATTCAACCAGCTCCTGACCCTCTCAGCCTTCTCATCTTGCCTCTGGACAGCAGCTGGCCATTTAGTCTCATGTATCTACTTGAGCTAAGAAGCACACTCTTCGCAAGTATCATTTTATGTTCCATAGTCCAGTCTAATCTTTGTCTGAAGAGTTGACCTCGGGAATGGTTTTAATTCTGGACTAACAAAGAGTCCGGGGGCCATGTCTTCTGGGGTCCCTCTAGTCTCAGTCAAATCATTAAGTCTGGTCTTTTTACTAGAATTTGAGTTCTGCACCCCACTTTTCTCCTGTGC